AGAACACCTACGCTCAGTTCGCACTAAACAACTGCATCTCCCAGTCGCGAACCATTTCAACTCCCCCTCCCATTCCGCAGACGACATGTCCATCCTGGGCCTCCTGCAGTGCCACAACGATGCTACCCGAAGGTTGCAGGAACAGCAACTCATATTCCGCTTGGGAACCCTGCAGCCCAATGGTATCAATGTGGACTTCACAAGCTTCAAAATCTCCCCTCCCCCTACCGCATCCCAAAACCAGCCCAGCTCGTCCCCACCTCCCTAACCTGTCCTTCCTCCCACCTATCCCCCCCTCCCACCCCAAGCCCCCCCCCCCCCTCTTCCCTACTTACCTCATCCCGCCCCCTTGACCTATCCCCTCCCTACCTCCCCACCTACACTCACCTTTACTGGCTCCATCCCCGCCTCTTTGACCTGTCTGTCTCCTCTCCACCTATCTTCTCCTCTATCCGCCTCCCCCTTCTTCAGAAATGGGGGAGGGGAAGGGTCTAGGCCCGAAACGTCAGCCTTCCTGCTCCTCTGATGCTGCTTGGCCTGCTGTGTTATCTTGAATAAATTCAGGTTGTTTTCTTTGGAGCACAGGGGTTGAGAGGGGAGCCTGACAGAAACGTATACAAGTACGTGAGGGACATGGGCAGGGTGGATAGAAAGCACTCTTTTAAAGTGAAAGGCAGGAGGTTTAGAGGGGGCATGAAGAAAACTTTCCCCCGCCCCCCTCACAGAGTGTGGTGGGGGTCTGGAATGCACTTCCTGGGAGGGTAGTTTGAAAAGTATTGGATGAGGTGATGGAAATGTCATAACAGGAAGGTGGGACTAATACAGATTTAGTGTAGTTTTTGTGGTACAGATTTTCTGAGTGCTTGAGGAAACAAATGATATGATGAGAGGAAATTCACAAAGACTACAAACACCAGCAAATATTCTTAGGCTGACGGCTTCCTTCTGTGCTATTGTAATCTATGTCGCTCCTACAAATTACTGCTGGGGCTTCTTAGAATGTCTGACGTAAATTCAAAAGTCTGGTGGAAATGCTGGACACATCAATAATGCAAAACCCAGCACATCAAATCTGGAAAGAACTCAAAAATCAGGAGCTTTGGTCTAAAAATGAGTTGCTTTTTTACAAACATAAACCAGTTTAAGTAGACTGACAGTGCTTTACAAACCTCATTACTGACATTTAATCTCCAGCAGGTCAAAGCATTTTACAAAACTCTATAATGTATTTTCAGAGACAGTAATAAAGTTTATAATCAGTTGTTTATTCTGTGTTGGAGTCAAAAAGGTCATGTTTATCAGTAAAGTATCTACAGTTTGTGGAGTTTGTAAACAAGGCAGTTTTCTGGAGCTATTATGTTTTGATTCAATTTTGCGTCCAAAAACTAAGTGCATCTTTTTTCCTTTTATTTGCCTTTACATGTTTTACTCTTGCATGCTCTAGAGTATTTCATGATGCCCTAAAATGTTTCAAGAGTTAAAGGAATCCTTTTCAAATAGGTTAGTAATCACTGAACACCTTCCTACCTAAAAGTATAATTCTAATTATGAAATTAATATAAGATTTCTGAAATACTTAGTCATAGAACAAACATTTCATGCCATAAACAGGTTCCTGAATTCATTTCCAAAGGTCAGAGATGATGGAAAGATGTCAGTCTGGACACTAAGCAAACAACAAAGTCACGAAAGATCATTTAGATGCATTATCCTCCCAAATTGTAGACATTTTTCAATTCATAGTATTGTAATTTGTAATGCATAATGTAAAAATAATAGGCACAATAAAGGCACATTCAACTCCTTCATCTAAAACAGCTTCTGCAGGCTTCTCCCTCAGGTATCTTTCAACTCAATCAATGATCACACTCTAGTGGCAGCATATTAAATTGCAAGTTTTTTTTAAAAAGCTGTAAACAAAATTTCTTACCTAAAGAGGATCAACTTTCTTGTTAATTGATCTTAACAAATGGTAATGAATGCAAAGCTACATACTGCTCCACATTTGATTCCTTAATACATTTCATGCTTCTTCGTGAGTTTTGCTTGAGCTTAGGTTGAGGGAAGATACAAAAAGTGGGAGGCTGACAAGGAGAACATAACATAAATATCAGATTACAGGTCTAAGTAGGAGAAGGCCATTCAGCATTCAACAAGATCGTTGCTGGTCAGATCATGATTTCAGCTCCACTCTCATCCACTGCCTATAACCGTTGAGTGCCTTGTCTATCAAACATTTATCTCATGCATATTGATTATGCTTCCAGCTTCCAGTACCACTCACTTCACTTGCCCACTTTGTGATGATGACCTCAGAGAGAAGGGCCACTTCTGAAACATTTCGCTTGATCATCATGGTCCACAGAAGAAAAATGTTTTGAAACAACCTGCCAAATTCTACAATCTAAGAAACCTCTCACAAGAGCAACCATCATTGCTAGGTGCAAGATATATTGACACATCCACTTGTGGTAAAATACAGTCTGTCACACAATAAGTGTTTAGTGACACACTTTGGAACATATCTGTAGGTAGAAATGGGTCAAAATGGATTCACTTGGAGATCTGAAAGCAACAGTTGGTTTGGCCCTTTTTTGAAAACCTAACCTTCCCAGATAATCTTAACCCAAATTGGTCCGAGAACATCAAAAAGGGCCAGTTTGGAAAATGGTTAAGATTAGTTGTTACAAAAGAAAACCTGTTAATGTTAAACCAGCAAATTATACAAGGTGAAAAGATTTTGTTCATATGTCCTTTGGAAATACTTTGCACGCATGAACCGTTCTCATCAGAACTTTACAAATAACCATTCATTAAACAAAAATCCAGTCTCTCAAAGGCTCAGCAGGTACATCACCTAGTTTTGGAGGTGTCTTGCAAATCAAGAAGTTCCCACATTCAATCCTTACAGCTGTTCGTACTTCAGGGAATCTGAGAAAATGCACTTCAAGAAACTGGCATGAGGTTTATGTTTGGAATCTGCAATTAGTCTCACAATTATCCAAGACAATTCAAAAGCTTGCTAGCAATTCTGGGAAGGAGTATCAGACCTGATACTTAGTAAATATCCCAACACTGTATTTGTATTCCTAATCAAGCTTAAATCCTGGGGAAAAAGTAATTTAAACTATGTCATTTCCAACTTTACAGGTCCTAGACACTAATAGGTGGGGTTGTTGAAATTTGTCGTAAATCCTTGCCAAGATATTTGTACTTTCACAATGCTTTGAGGAAGAAAACAAGCTGCTTCAGTTTACTCTTGCAAAAATTTGTTGTTCAAACCAGTCCTGTAATTATTTTTTAATTCCAACTCCCTATGAGCACTGAGCATGAGAATTACAGACCCTTCCTCATGTCTAGGAATGCTAAGATTGTGTGAGGAAAATACATTATGTGATTGCATTATAATGCGTTTTTCTAGTTGTGCCCAATGTATTAAGGATCTATCGACAAAATGGCCCTCCTAATCCCCAGAATTTGAGCCCCAACACATGACAAATACTTACAAAAAAAAGTCAAAGGATCAAACACTTTGTTTACTGGTTAGTTCTGAATGCAAAGTTCTTAAAGGAATCAAAGTTTCATTGCTTTCAATGGCAAGAACTTACTTAAGAGGTTTGATGCGCTGCCTGCATCTAAAGCAAAGCTGACAATGTAAGGTCATGCAAGGAATGTTTGACATTGAATCCAGCATATTGGATCGGAGAATAAAGTTGATCTTTTAGTCCATCCATATTTGCAGGCAGATATTCTTTTGAAGTTTAATTTATACATTTGAAACAATAAAGATTGAAAATAGTGATGACCAAAGTTCACTATAAGCTGCACGTGAACAACCATGAAGGTCCCCACATACAGATTGGCAGCTGAAACTGTTCACAGCATTGATATCTGGTTCTGGAAGTCCCTGCCATGTATATAATTTGAGGTTCATGCAAAAGAAAACAAATTTAGCTGGAAAGCCATTGACAAAGATAGGTAGAAAAGTAACTTGTGAGGAGGACATAGGAGCCACAGACAGACATAGACAGGTTAAATAAGTGGGCACAAAGGTGGCAAATTAATATAATGTGGGAAATGTGAAATTGTCCATTTTGGCTGGAAGAATAAACAAAGGAAACACAGACTTCAGAGCTTTGAGATGCAAAGGGGTCTTAATGTGATCACGTGTGAATTGTGAAGGTTAGCATGAAGGCACAACAAGTAATTAAAGCTAATGGAATGTTATCATTTATCACAAGGCAAAACTGAATAGGAAAGTGTATAGGTTATGCTTTAGTTTCACAGGGCATAAGTGAGGCCTCATCTGGGGAGTGCTGTGCACAGTATTTCAGGAAGAATGTAAGCGTAGTGGAGGCATTTCAGAGCAAGTTTACTAGACTAATACCCAGAACCAAACATGGAACTATAGATGCTGGAGAAAGAAAACAAATAAAAATGGAAATTGCTGGAAAAATTCAACAGGTCGGGCAGCTTAGCCAGGAATAAAAAAGTTAAATGTTGAGTCCAGTGTCTCCGAACAAGGGTCACTAGATTTGAAATGTTAACAGCTGGAACAGGTAGGTTGTCTTATTGGGAAAAAAAGTGTAACCCAGCTAGGCTCGCATCCACTGGAGTGGCTTGATTATAAAGGAGGAGTGTTTTAAATTACTGGGTTTATAATTCTACTGTCTTGGAAAATCTTTGAATGCATTATAGTTTGGCTTATTGTCTTTTATCTTCATTTCTTTTGTTCATTAATTTCTGCTTTAATGTTAAAGCAAAATCAGCAGCATTGTGTGCTAATGTTTCAGCGAGAGATCACTTAATTAAAATCAAAATAAGATCTATCAAGCCAGATTTCAGTCTGGGATCTGACTTGTCCAGTATCATCATCAGCTGGGATCTTAACACACAGATGGCACTAGTGTTCCACTTACACTGATTCAGAGCCATGCCTCAGCCCCAGAAGAATAAATAACATTTTAAAAAGTTTGTTTTTCCCCTTTCAGTGTTGGGTTATTAATAAGTGCTTCTGAAATGCTTTAACAAATTTCTGAAGTATATTTGAATATTTCATCACACCCATCATTAATCACATTTAACTGTTGTAACATTCAATACTGTCGGTTTGACAGGAACTGTTAACGAATCCTTAATCAACCGACAGTTCACCATACTTATTGTGATTATAGAGAAACCAAGAACAGATATTTCCACTAGATGCCAGCGCAGGACAAAGGCATAAGCATTACTAACCACAGAGCATTATTTTACATATTTTAATACTAATTCCTTCCATAAGAACATTGTGGGTCTACCTAAAGTGGATGGGCTGCAGTGGTTCAAGAAGGCTGCTCACTGCTACCTTCTCAAGAGCGACTAGAGACAGGCAATAAACGCTGTGGGCAGCCAACACCACCCATTACCCATGAGCGAACTTCAAAAAAAAAAAAAAAATCTGCTGGTGCCATCTGTCGCAATCTTCATTTCTGTGCGGCAAAAATGAAATGGTATCTGCAACAGCTGTGATGTCCTCTCTCTGGTGTGTGGTATTTCATGTTCAAACTTTTGACTTGTGGTCTCTCCCAGTCCTTGACTTTCCCTCTTCAGAGGCAAATACTTTACCTTGGTTGCAGTTGGTTAGAAGTGCAGGTACCAAGAAAGCCAAAAGGAGCAGAATATATGCCCTGGGATGATGCAAACCCTAGAACTGGTAGTTTAAATCAAGTCAAATCCTCAACTTTTTGCAACCATTCAAGTCGTTCTTTCTCTTATGGAAATTCCGTAACTGTTCCCTGTTGGTGTACACAAGCGACCACTATGTTGGCAATCGTGGTTTGAGGATAGATTGAAACCAAAGCAAGAATACTGTTCTCCAATTTACTGAGCCCTAATGTAATTCATCCATGAATACGCTTAATGTCTTTAATTTAAATCTGACACTTGGAAGCCCTGAAAACCATTACTACAAGAACGGAGCCACTGCCTTAGATCTTGCAGAAGATGCTGTCATTGACTCAAACTATCACACACCTTTGACGAGAGATGATGTGGATATTACTTGGAAGGTGTGGATGTCACAGATGACAATAAGTCTTCATTTGAAGTTGTCCTATTTAGTGTTGTTAGCTTTAACATCAGCAATTTAATGGAATTGTAATCTCAGTACTGCAAAGCACATTTTGACATCACTTACTTGACTGAACTGTCATAATTCTGACACAGCTTCCCCCACCTATTACTGGATGCTGGAGATCCAAAATAAAATTAAAGTGCTAGAGAAACTCAGAAGTTCCAACAGCAACTTTGTCCCGCTCTTCATAGATATGTTGAATTTGTTAAGACTTTTCTTCGGTACTCTGTTCACTGAATTTCTCCAGTATATTTTAAATAAATCTTGTTTCATTACAAAAAGGACTGAAGATTTAATCTTCAATAGTTTCAGAATTTACAAACAAACAATCCCAAGCAGAGAGAAATGCATCGATTAAACATAAGATTCAGTGCACCAAAATAATTGTTCAAACTTAGCAGGACTGTTACTTTTGCATATTAGCAATTTGCTATTTTGACAGAAATATAAATCCTTTTTAAAAAATCCAATCCTTTTTAAAAAATCCAATCTAAAATGTACAATGTATTGACTTAACTTTCCTCTAGAAAAAAGTGTTTTAATCTGGGTGGATAATTTACAAATGGGAATTACTGTAAACAAGTATCTGCTATTATGTCCATTACAATTGCACCATGGTATCAGTTCTTTTCCAGTGTACGTAACAGCTATGAAGAGTCGTCAATAGTTACTTCTGCTGGTTACAATATTTTATCAGTCCTCAAGATATTTGGTTTCTTGGGCTTCAGGTCATGTTGTCCAAACTAGAGAGAGGAAAGAGGAAAAATAGGCTTAAAACAAAGATAATGAAGCAAACATTTTGGTACCCTTCACTGCAAATGCAATTTTTCAAAAAAAAAAAAAAATAAATAAATAAATAAATAATTAAAAAAAAAAAAAACCCATTCAGGGGATGTGGGCATCACTGACTGCTGCTAAGGAATTCCTGCTTCTAAAGTTAACCACTGGGTGCAATACACCAGCATATGCTGTGTCATTTGTGCACATGCTGTTGATATCTAAATGTATTTAGTATTCACTTAATTGCACTGCTCATTACTTTCTTTACAATGTTTATTACATTGTCCTTGCTCAAATGCTCTTTACGACATTCTGTAGTCTTTAATTCTTCGCCTCTTCAAAGTTATTGCAAAAGGGATTCAGTTCTCTAGTCACCTGGTTCATTCAGGAGTTGCTATCCTATTCTCATACTCACTTCCACTCTGCTACAAAGTCTAGTGCATTACATGTTAATATGTCAACCTGAAGCATATTTTACTTTAAGTGAACCCCTATTCCAGCTGAACTATCTGCATAGTTCGAAATAATACTAACTGGCTTACTTTATCTAATAACCTAAAAGCACGTATCCATGCACCAATTCAAATAATTTGCATAGAGCAAGAACTTTTTTGTTTAAAATGTGTACCTAGACATGTCAACTTCTTTAAATTATATTTACACCAGTCTTCTAACATTTTTCAAGAAGGTGAAGATGACTTTGTAAGATAATTCTTTGCTAATTTTGTTGGCATCCCAACAAAATGAAGGAATCTCCATACAGAAGCAGAACTGTGGTATACACAAAAACCAAAGCAGGTGAACATTTTCCTTTCTAAAAAACTATATTGTTAGAAATGTGACACTAAAAACTATGAAAACCACAATAAGGAACTTCAACGTTTCGCTGCTTCCGGTGAACTAACATACCCTTGAAGTTTCTGGACTTGACAGTGGAGAGAATTCAAATGGCTCATTTTCATAATCAGAAGAATCATTCATGTATCTGTGTGAAAACTTGCGTTTTAAAGCATTGGCAATGAGTGCTGCTGGATCAGAGACAGGTGCCTTTATTGCTGGTTTCTTCCCCATGGGTGTTCCTCCAGGTGACCTTTATAAATAAGAATATTATTAAAACACGCCAAATCCACAAAATGTTTCCATTCCTGCTGTTGGACAACATTTACCTTGCTACTGCTTTTAATTTGACATTCTGCATATCCTTCAAGACATCCATCATGTTGAAGGGATTTGATAAGTTTTCAGTGAGCTTTGGTTTGATGGTTACATGACTAGGGTTGCTTTTCATAGCTTGGGCTTCTCCAACAAGATTGCTAGCAGACGCAGCACTGTTCTCTGCAGCTGACATTGGCGGAGGTGGAGGTGGAGGTGGAGGTGGAGGTGGTAGGGCATTCCCAGCTGGATCACTCAAAGCACCAAACGGTGTAGATGTTAACTTTGGAGGAGGAATGGAAAGAGCAGGAGTACCTGAAATGGAAAAGCCATTTAGTCCCAACTGTGTTAAACGTAGGAGTATTTTATCTTGAATAATGTTGAAATATTGGAATACAAATTCCTAATATGAGATTATGACCAACAAAAACAAGGCAAATGAAATATAAAACATGCACAGTCAAGAGCTAGGTGTAATTAAGATTGCTGAACCAACTGGATCAAATTTCTTCATGTTCCTTGGTGAGATCAATGGGAAAATTAATTTTATACATCAGCCATTTCCTATTTATTCCTATGCTCAAAACAGCAAAATATTTTCTAAGATTGCTGCATGTGCAGGTTTGAAAAATCTGATTTTCAACATGGAATTTTTATTAAACATCAGTATTTCAGCCTATACTGTTAGCATTTTGCACAAGACAGATAGAATACAATGTGTACTTACATTTCAATTATCTTTTTGAAGCTACAATCCTCATCGCCTTAACATTCACCTACATAAAATGTTTCAATATTTTTCCTTTTATTTCTGTAAAGTTCATTCCATATGTTGATTACTCATTGTTCAAAGACCTTTGACTATTATGTTCACCATTTTATACCTCCAAGCAATACAGAGACAGGCAGATTCTATGTAAAATGAAATGTATTGACAATAATTTCTCAAAAGCCTGTAACTCTGAAGTTTACTCCAAGCTTCAGCTCTTAGATTTCAGCAGCTTGTTTCTCATTTACTTTTCTAAGTCATTACTCCGGGCTTAACCAATGAATCACTATGCGTAAAACAGTCCAACAGATACATATAATCAAAATATGGAACAATTAAACATTCCCCAAACTTTTTTATTATTAATTCAGGTGAATATCCTTCTAATTTACTTCTGAATTTGAAATTATGCTCCAGAATTACCAGTTGTTCATAAACAATACATTTAGCTGCTAAGGAGCTCTCCTCTCAGGCTTTTTAGCCCTGAAAGCTGACCATGTTTCTTCAATTTGTCCTCAATCTATCCTCAGTGATTCTAACCTGGTTATTCTTTCTGAACCATCTTCAGATGTGTGAACCCCTTGTGACCCAGTGACCAGAACTAAAATATGATATTCGAGATACAGTCAAGTCAAAAATTTCTCTTGGAAGGTCTGTCATATTTCATTAATATGCATTGAAAAAAACAGCCTTTCCTGCTTTACACAATTCAGTTTTGCAAAGCCTCCTTACCTTTGATGCTCATTTTAGTTTTGTATCAACAAGAAGATTTTTTGCACAGTGATCAACATGTACTTTATTATTGATTGCTTTGCTGGCTATGAAGCATTTGGTACATCTAGACATCATGAAGGGTCCCAGATAAATCCAAGTTTACACTCAGAAGTGCTATGTAAATGCGCACAATTTTGTCTATAAAACTTACAGGGAGTATCCAATCTTTCATCCTGCATTGTAATAAGCATAGCAATTTGAGACCTCAGACGAGACAACTCATCTTCAAGTTGAGATATTTTATTCAAGGCATTTTCATTTGATGTATTATTCCCATTTTTTGGATAATTTAATGTGGTCATTGGTGCGCGATGTTCTTGCATCAGGCCGATTACCTGCTCAGCTTTGGGAGGGCGAACTTCATTCCTTAGAAAGAAAACAAACAATTCAATCTCAAAATTGCACATAATTTTTTTCCCTCAGATCCTGTCTAAACCTGCTGCCTTTCACCTAAAAGGTTATGCCCCCTTGTTATGGGCCCTTCAACTTGGGGAACAGCAGCTTTCTATCCACATTGTCCGCGCTCCTCACTCACTCTCTGAGGCACAAGCTTCAGTCCCATTTGTTGATCACAGAAGGCATATTCATAAAGTGGCCAGTTTGAAAACCAACTTGCAAAATACTTCCAATACACTTATGGCAGGCAGTAAGAGTGGGAGATTCTCCTGATAAGCCTAAACTTATTTTAAAAGCATATTTCTTCATGGCCCAATATTATTTTTATTATTTTATGAACTTACATACGTATAAGTAAATTCCACACACTAAATTCTGGCAACACATTCTTAGCTCTAATGAGTGCCTATATTTGTTTGATTACCAATCTCTCAAAAAACACTATGGACAGATTAAAAAAAAAAATCAATGTGCAAATATACATACATGCATACACACCTAAATCGAGTGAAAGTTTCACCCTCATCATCAGCAATCCATGATACATCAGCCAGAGATGGAACCGTAGGTTTAGAGCTATAGTTACATGAGTCAGGTACTTTTAATCTTTCTAAGAGCTATAAAATGGCAAAATGTTATTGCAATTAATTTAATCATTTAATATATACACACATTTACAAATAAATACATAAGAGGTAATGAGAGATAAACTTCGAAAATGTTAGCGAGAAATAAGCACACATATTAACTGAAATCAAATCACCAGGGGTTTGCCAATGTAATAGTCCAAATCAGACACTGATCTGCAAAAGTGAGTTCTGGACATAAATTAAGTTGCTACTCTAACTCTATCAACTGCAAAGGACAGCACATTCTGGCGCGGTTTTCTGCTATCTAGAAACCGTTTTTCAAAAATAGGAACTACTAGTGCTGAACTCAGACATTAGTTTAAATGTTGTGAACCAGCCTAATTCGAAGCCTCCCAAATCTTAGTTGCATTATTCACTTATCTTTTAGGCCCTTCAACTCGACTCGCAAAAGTAGGTAAAGCTTCAATGAAGGAAACCTGAACCTAAAGTTCCGAGTTCAAAGAGACTCTACGTTTTATGCAGCAGGGACCTTAACCCAGTGCGTGTTATGAATTTAGGTAATAAAAGTAATGATCCTTAAAGGACACGTAAGGTTGGTAGAAACGTATTTAAAACTACAGTCCTTTAACATTTAAACAAAAACATCCTACCCACATGAGCGAGGGATAAAAAAAGTTCTCACATTTACTATAGCTGGATGTTGACATTTGCCTCTGGGCTCTTTATGAATGCTTTGTTGCTTTCTACTCCCTATAACTCTCAGCATGGTTTCCAAGTTCCCAGTTTGATTGTCAGGTCAAAGAGGGTATCAAACTCTCAGTTATTAGCAAAACAATAGAAGAGGTTGTTAGCAATGTCATGAAGCAAAAACCTGCTCACTAGTTGTCAGTTAGGGTTTGCCAGGCTCACTTCATTCTGGTCTCATTGCAGGGAAAAATGGGCTATCTTCACAGTCCAAGCCAAGATCAGTCAAGCTGGTCTAGTGAAACCAGTCCAGAGATTACCAGTAAGTCAGTTGGTAGGGGTGGGGGCTTCACAGAAATCAGTCAAGGACTGGTCCATCCTCAGTCGGAAAAGGTTGCGAGATGTCCCAAGGGAGTGAATAGGAAGCAGACAGGGCAAGAGAAGGTCAGTAATTCAGGGGAACGGGGTAGGTGAGAGCCACTAAAGGGAAGATGCTGCATGCAACAGTGAGAGTGGTAGACCAGGAGGCTTTGTGGGAGGTGGGTGCAGTGGCAGATTTTGACTGAGTGCAAGGTAGCAGTGAGAAAATGATACAATTTTTGGAAGCACGGAAGTTCATTAACCTGCTTGTGGCACTGCAGTGTGATCCTCTAGGCCAAGGACATCACAGACAGGTGGCTATATAGATCAAGCTAGCAATGCCTGATGGCATGGTCTCTGCAAAGCAGGGGGGCAACTTGTCTCCCTCAATCATGTCATTTGGAATTGTACCGCAAAACACTAGGGGTAATTCCTGGATGCCGTAAGGTCCCAGCACTGGCAAGCACTTCTGTCTCTGCTGAGTACAAGATTGTGCAAGTGTTACCATGGTGGCAGGATACATAATTAATAAAGTAAGCAGCAGAGAATTCAATCAGAAATGTTACCAGGGTTTACAGTTGGAAACCCTCCATGAAATTCCCTGAAACAAAATTTGGAAAAATTCAGCCCAATGGAACTGGTGCATATGAGAGCAAAGGAGATTTGATTGAGGTGTTAAAAATTTGGAAAGGCTGTGATAAATCAGGAAAACTATTCACACCACTCAGTGAATTATTAACCAAAGAATAAATTGAAAATAATTAACCCTTTAATTATTAACTTGGCAGGGGTGTGGGAAACAGGAAGTATTATCAAGGAAAAGCAAGCTACACAGAATTCGGGCAAACAAATAGTTCTGTAGAAAATTGCATGATATTAGGGTCAAAATGAGTGGAAATTAAATAATGTATAGATTAAGTTTACTAAACATTTATGTGAATGTGAATGAGAATGTGCAAATTAGATGGATGAGCTACAGGAGCAGATAGCTACATGAGAATAGGATGCTTTGATAATAATAGAGATATGGCTGATAAAAGATTAAAAGTTATTGGAGCAGAATTAGGCTATTTGGCCAATCGAGTCTGCTCTGCCATTCCATCACAGCAGCTATATTTCTTAACCCCACTCCCCTGCCCTCTCCCTTTAACTCTTGATAGTAAGCCAATCAAGAACCTTGTCTGTCTTTTCACTCAATGACTTGGCCTCCACAGCCTTCTGCGTCAATTAGTTCCACAGATCCACCATCCTCTGGCTAAAGAAACTCCTCCTCATCTCAGTTCTCAAGGATTATCCCTTCATTCTGAGGCTGTGCCCTTGGATGCTAGTTCTTCCAACTAATGGAAACATCTTCTCATGTCCACTCCATCCAGGCCTTCCAGTGTTTTGTAAGTTTTATGCGATCACCATCCCCCACCCCCCCAATCCTTCTAAACTCCATCGACTACAGACCCAGAGTCCTCAACTGCTCCTCATTCGACAAGTCTTTCATCCCCAGGATCGTTCTTCTAAACGTTCTCTGGACCCATTCCAAGGCCATCATATCCTTCCTTAGACACGGGGCCCCAAAACTGCTCATAATATTCCAAACGCAGACTGACCAGAGTCTTATTCAAGACAGTACATCTCTGCTCTTGTATTCTAGCCTTCTTGAAATTAATGCTAACGTTGCATTTACCTTCCTAACTACCGAATGAACCTGCAATTTAATCTTGAGAATCCGGAGTTTCAGATTTCTAAAGTCGTCCCCCATTTAGAAAATAGTATACGCCTCTGCTCTTACCCACCAAAATGCACAACATCACAATTTTCCACATCATAACCATCTGCCACTTCTTTGCCCACTCTCCTAGCCTGTCCAAGTCTTTCTGCAGTCTGCCCTCTTCCTGTACACTACCTGTCCCTCCACCTATCTTTGTGTTATCTGCTAACTTAGCATACAGTCATAGCGTCATGCAACACAGAAATAGACCCTTCGGTCCAACCAGTCCAAGCTGAACATAATCCCAACCTAAACTAGTCCCACCTGCCTGCTCCTGGCCCATATCCCTCCAAACCTTTCCTGTTCATGTATTTATCCGTATTTCTTTCAAATGCTGTAATTGTATCACCATCCACCTCTTCCTCACAAACTCATTCCACACGTGAACCATCCCGTGTAAAATATTTACCTCATATCCTTTTTAAATCTCTCTCCTCTCACCTTAAAAACGTGCATCCTGGTCTTGAAATCCCCATCCTTGGGAAAAGACACCTACGATTAACCTTATCTATATCTCTCATTAGTTTATAAACTTCGATCAGGCCACCTCTCAACCTCCTACACTCCAGTGAAAAATGTCCCAGCCTTTCTTCATAACTCAAACCTTCCATACGCAGCAACATTCTAGTACATGTAAAAAAAAAAGAATGGCAGATGCTGTAAATCAGAAACAAAAACAAAAGTTGCTGGCAACATCTGTGAAGAGAAATCAGAGTTAACGTTTCAGATCTGGTGACCCTTCCTCAGAACTGATGGTAGCTAGGAAAATGTCAAATTATTTTCAGAAGATAAGGTGGGGGAGGGGGTAAGGAGTAAACAGTAGGTGGGGATAGAGTCCAAAGAGAGAAAAGCAGTTGGTCAGACAAAGGAGTGGAAAACGATCTGGCTAGGAGACAGAATAGCTGTTAATGGAGACTGTTAATGGCTAACAATCCTAACCAGATCGTTATCTACTCCTTTGTCTATCCAACTGCTCTTCTCTCTCTTTACGCTCTATCCCCAACTATCATTTATTCCTTATCCCCTCCCCCACCCTATCTTCTGCATATAAACTGACATTTTCCTAGCTACCATCTGTTCTGAGGAAGGGTCACTGGACCCGAAATGTTAACCTGATTTCTCTTCACAAATGCTGCCAAAGAACAAAGAAAATTACAGCACAGGAACAGGCCCTTCGGCCCTCCAAGCCTGCACCGATCCAGATCCTCTATCTAAACCTGTCGCTTATTTTCCAAGACAGTAGGAACTGCAGATGCTGGAGAATCCGAGACAACAAGGTACAGGGCTGGATGAACAC